TCTTCATATTTTTATCATTTTTAGAATTGTTATTGTTACTTTAATATGCATTACTCTTTCTACGAGGTGATCTACCCCTAGTATACATAACCTCACCCGACACTACAAAAAAAAAATTAATTAGTTACAATATTTTTAACTACAAAATATTTTGTAGTTAAAATATATCATTCAGCAACAAAATCTAATTTTACCGCTAAAAATAAATTATATACTACAAAATTAATTTTATCGCTAAAACTTTTTTGCTATAAATTTCTATTTTTATAATAAAAAGGGTTTTAGCTACAAAATCATCTTTCATAGCTAAAATCATTTGGCCAAAAAATCATGCATATTTTGTTGCTATATTTTATTTTTTTGTTGTAAAATTTATTTTTATAGCAAAAGAGCTTTAACTTCGGAATCATATTTTTGTAGCTATATCTCTTTTCTTAACTCTTATTGCAAAAAATTATCTTTTGTTATGAAACTCAAATTTGTCGCTAAAGGTATTTACCAATGTGGTATAGACAACAAAACTCATTTCATTGCAAAAATATTTTCGCTATAAATTCATTACTTGTAGCTAAATTTTAATTTTTTTGTAGTGCGAAGACTTATGAGATTTATTAATGACTAATTTTAATTCTTTAATTTTTAGACTATTTACAACAACATCCAATATTATATTATTTCTTTCATACATAATTGCAGATTTTACGTTAGGGATAACATTTAGTAAAACAATTGGACTATATATGCTATAATTGTATCACCGGTGAGTTTTATGTGTTTTTATAAACTTTTGAAAAACATCCAAATTTTCATCAATGTGTTTATGCAAATCAAGTTCAATTCAGAAAAATCATTCAAGTAGATACAACTTATTTGGCAAAGAAATTTTAATATATAATTTATCTAATTTATCTTATAACTTTTTTGCAGTTTTAACCTCACTGAATTTTCTAATGACTGAATCAGACAAATTAAGAATATAAACGAATAAATCATTTTATCTATTTCAACAATTTTCTCTTCGATTACAAAAGCTCTATAATTTTAATCTACAATTATAAAAAGAAATTGAGTTATCAACATTATTTTCATTTTCTATTTCCATATTGCAAAATTTGTTTTACCATCAAATTGTATTAAATCTAAGAAAGAAGAATTTGCCATGCTTTCTTGAAATTTTTAGAAACAAATTTTCTTATTTAGAAATATAATAAAACATATCATACACAAAAAAATAAAAAAATAAAAAATCAAATAACCACTTTAGAGACAGAAATCACACAAGACTTTTAATCTACCGTATAGAGACAAAAAAATTAGACACTAATCAACAATTTTAGAATATTTTCACACACGAAAATAATAAACAACAATCGGTGACCCTCCAAATGAAAATTAAAAGTATATGATTTAATCTTTTTTACTAACCTTGAGTTTTTCACACATTTGTGAAAACCAAAATGTTTACAACCAATGTACTTAAATTATTTTTCAACTAACCCGCAACACAAACAAATTTTTTTAAAAAAAAACAGAAATTATAGTGTTTGTTTACTCCCCAAAATAGTCTTTGCGGTCACAAAATTTTCAAAAAAAAAAAGAAATCAAAATATTGTACTTCAGAACAATTAAAGAAATTTTTTTTTTTTTTTAAAGAATAAAAACACACTTGAATCTTTTTTACTAACCTTGAGTTTTTCACACATTTGTGAAAAACAAAATGTTTACAACCAATGTACTTAAATTATTTTTCAACTAACCCGCAACACAAACAAATTTTTTTTTAAAAAAACAGAAATTATAGTGTTTGTTTACTCCCCAAAATAGTCTTTGCGGTCACAAAATTTTCAAAAAAAAAAAGAAATCAAAATATTGTACTTCAGAACAATTGAAGAAAATTTTAATTTTTTTTAAAGAATAAAAACACACTTGAAGCTGATTTTATACACAAAACTTTTAAAGATTTGAAAATAATTTACCACACAATTAAATTTCCAATCAAAAGAACACAAATAGAGTTTTCTAGTAGTAAGAATAGAGCAAACCACAAGAATTTTAACAAAATTACTCAAAATCAGATTGGATTTGAAAATTTCATAACCAAACAAGGTTGTCTAGTATTTATGAATCTGATTCAAAGTGAAGACCGTCAAAATTCTGTAAATCAATTTAGATAAAAGAGCAGGGCCATGCATGTTAAGAAAGATTTCCATAATTGAATGAAATTTTAAAAAGAATGAGAAAAAACTACGGATACACACAGAACATCTATAGATTTGCAAACCGAATTAATTTCTTAAAAGCTTTTAAGAAACACAACAAAAAAACTAAAATCGAAGGCTTAGAAACAAAGTTTTCAAAAACCCAAGTTTTGATACCACTGCAAGTTTTCGGATCAAAATCAACAATGAAAAATACTTAAATGAACTAAATAGAAGTAGAAAATTGAAACACACAAAACATTAACAAACACCAACAAAGAACACCGACGTGGGACTCAAATTTATAATGCTAGCCCTTATTAACAAAATAAGACAATAATAGGGACAATTGGCGCCATCCAACGACACTTTGGCGACACTTGTCCCTTGCCTAAAGAATCGAACCCTAATCCCTCGATGTGAAATATTTCGAAATAGAAAAAACCACACTATAGAGAACTCACTAATCACTCCCCAAATATTCCACAGGAGAATCGCCTCTCGAAAATTCAGAAATCCACTAGAAATCACAACGTCGAAAACGCAACAAACGGAGAAGAAATAACATGAGTCAGCGAGAGAATACTAACCGGTAGTGGTTGCTCATGTTTCAAAATTAAGGGCAACACACACACACATATATATATATATATATATGAATGGACGCCCAGGATTACAACACTAGAATGAACAGATCGTATTATATTTGGGGAAAGTTGGATTATCAGGTTGGGTATGCAATGAATGTGGATTACGCCTCGGTGATTGTACTGATTAGATCAACACCATTGGACCTCCTTAATTCAATATCTAATTATAAATAATAAATAAAGTTAATTTTGTAATTTTACCCTACATTTTGAATGGGTAGAATCGTGACCATGGATTCATGGATTTAAACCTCTGATGCCTCCGAGTCTTGCCTGGTATATATGGTAAAAGTGTATGCATCTGCTTCAATTTAAAATGCATAACAATTGTTAATCCAATTTGGCCTACATTTAGAGAGTTTCAACATAGATTAGATCACTCAAATTCACTCAATAATTACACCAACTTATATCCAAAATTAATCTCTACAATTATTCAGTTCCAAGACAACAAATAAACAAATAAGTCTGCCACTCTTTAGATGTACGTGTCTCGAGTCAACATCTCAGCAGGTTGAATGAAACGAATTTCGACTTTATTTTCAAGTATCAAACCTTCATGAACATTGCAGTTTGTCAATCATTTGATCTGCACTCAGAAAAGACAAGATTATATCACCATTCGAATACCTTTTTGGTTATAAAATGACAAGCTCAGTAGTTTTTCGTTCAACATCTGTATTTTTATTCTTTTATGATATTCACTTAAGCAACTCTCATTTTTCTTATATGTCTAACCTTTGCTCCCTTAGTCACATTGGAAATATTCTCAACAAACAAAAACTATCCTATACACTCAATTCTCAATTTTGTTACAATTGAATTCTACATAGATGGATCAACTTCTTCTTCTTATTCTTTTTTTTTTTTTTTTTTTTTTTTAATATATATATATATCCTAATCCTTATACAACCGGATATTTTATGATCAAATTTAATTAAATCATCATTTGGCTGTCTTCTTTATGTTGGGATTAAGATCACAAATCTATCGGTAAATAGTAATTAAAATTCAAAAAACAAAATACAATCCAAGATTATCAATAGTTTACTTATATTATACTATATTTGTCCCATTTAATTTGTCTACTTATTCTATTTTCGTTCGTTCCACGTAATTTGTCATTTACTATTTTGAAAATATAATTATACACTCTAATCATATTTTAAAATTCATAATTTGTAATTTTTTTATTTTAATTAAACTATTTAATCATATTAATCTTAATCTATAATTATTTTTATTAAATTATAATTATTTTTACTAATACACTTCTTAATTATTTACTAATTACACAATACTAAACTTTGTGTCTAAACTAAATGAGACAAAATAGATGGGATAGGAGGAATATTATATATATTGAATTATTTGTAATTTAAATATAATTTTCTATGACAAAAAAGTTTCAATTTTACGGAGAATTTTAAAGAATTTTAACTATATCGTGAAATAGCTAAATGTATGTTTCTCCGGAAAAGAGTACCAAAATTACTGTATAGTTACGGTTCACAATAATTTGAGACTAAATTCCTCCTCAATTGACATAATCTCCAACAAATTTTTAAAACATATAAAATTTGTATGACCAGACAAAAATCCAACAAATTAATTATTTAATTATTATAATAATTATAATTTAATAAAATATATACAATATATAGATTTTTTTGCAAAAAATAAAAATTTTATATAATAAAAATAAATAAATAAATATATTTAAATATAATATAATTATAATCAAATTATATTTTATTAATTTTAAAAATTAAATTAAATATATATATTTATATTATTATATTTATTAGCCATATTGATGTATCAAAACCCCAAACTACAAACCAAAATTTATATACAAATTCAAATCCATCTTAAAATTCAAATAGTAACACAATCTCAATTTTTCTAAATCTTTCCAAAAAAAGAGAAAAAACACACAAAGTAATGAGTTATTGAGTCAACAACGAACAACTATTCCTCTACATTTCGCTATCCTGCAGTCTCTACAATCCTGCATCGCAATGTTGTACATCCAGCGCCGCCTCATTTTACGAATTTCCAAATCTACCCATCAAGGTACAACTCACGAAGCATGTTGGGGCACTTTCCAACTGTAGAGTCTCGCGTTGAATATCTAGCGCCGTACGCCTCGCCTTATATATATATATTCTCCAGTATTCGCATCGAATCTTTCTTTCTCCGGTCTGACATTCTCCCGTCGCATCAGAATTCAAACCTCGCCGAAACCAACCCAATCAGGTCGATTCTCTCTCTCGTCGCGTTCTCGGATCTCCACACAGGTTTCTTCCAATTCTGTCGTTGTTGACTTCAATTGCACACGTTTATTTCGTCGTTTGTCAATTTGTTCGTGCTTTTTTTGGTAAATTGCGAGTTGGCTTTTCGGCGTGAGATTCGATCTGTGGTTTGGTTTTTAATCTCCATTTTTAGGTGTATATATCTATATATGTATATATGTACTATTTTTTGCTTGTTTGCGGTTAATCTGTGGTTAGTGACTTAGTTTGTTGCTGTTGAATTAGGGAAGTGCAAAGTTGAAGATATGTTGGGAATTGTAAAACGCAATTTGATCTGCAAAGGCAACTTTGCTTCGGTACGATTTGGTATATGTGGTTATCGAATTAGTACGATTGATCAGTGTTCTTAATCGGAAGTTGAAGCGGTTATTGTTGATATTTTTATTGATTAGCATTTGGAGCAAGGAATTCGAGTATTTGCATCTCGAGCATTTTCTTCAGCGAACAAAGAGGTAATTTACTTTCTCAAAGGCCGATTTGGGTATAGTCGAATTCAAATACCAGTCCAAATGCATTGTGAGCATGTGAATTTTAATCTGTTCATACTTGAAAATATTTTATAATGTAAATCGACTGTTTAATTTTAGAAAGTATTAGAATGACATAGTATTAAAGATTTTCTAAAATCTTAAAAGAAACCGACTCAAAATAGTTGTTAAACGAAACTAATGAAATTGACAGTCATATGAATTTACCTTCAACCAAACAGGACCTTTCAATGTTTGATCGTGTTTTGGTGATATAAAGAGGTTTCTTAATGCTTTATTTTGAATTGAAATATTTTTTTTTATATAATAAATTAAATAAAATACAAATGAATGAAGCTTTTCAAGATAAATAAATAAAAAAGATTAGTGAAAACACAACCATGTTTATATAATTCATACATACAAAACATCACAGAGTTATTTATTTAGTATGTTTAGTTTGAGATTTTTTTGTTTTATGATCAGTATTGAAAATTTACTATTTAGTATTTTTAGTTAGAGAATTTTTTGTCTCAATACAATAGTCTTATTTACTATTTTTGTCCATTCCAAAACAATAGTCTCATTTTTATAAATAAACAAAAAAGTCACTTATCTTTACTTTTTACCGACTACTAATATAATATCAATATTTTGTGCCAAACACAATAACACTATACTTTTTGGGACGGAGGAAATAATATTTTGTGTTAAATTGCTTTAGTCTTCGTGAATGAGTGAAAGTATATATATTATATATATCGAATAAGTGTATGTATGTATTGTATTTCTTTTGTAATATTAATAGGAAATTGTGTATCTTCTTTTCTATATATATATATATATATATTATGTGTTCACACACAAAAACAAACTTTTCTTTTTTTTTTATGGCACAAATATTATTTTTATACATTTGGACCAACATCTAAACAATGAGTTCTAGTTCAAATACTCTCCCCAAATTAAGTAAATAGATCAATATTTCAATGTATTCAAGGCTTTGTTCTTATGTGTTTCTAAATTCACTATTATTATTATTATTAGTATTATTTTTTATTTATATATTTTTCCTCCATAAATATCTCTTCCAATGTCAAATTTTTATATGAAGCATTGGGTCAAAAACTGTTTTCATTTCAAAAGCATCAAAAGAAAACTAGTCATTAATCCACTCTCACAGTCCAAATCTATCATACCAAGCATGACCAAAGTGAATTTCGATCCACAAGTAGAAAGAATCATGGACAAAACACAACACAAGAAGAAACATCGAAGCTTACCAATGGCCATCAACTGACAATACTTCTGATATCTTACATTGTCAAAAAATTACATAACAGATACTGTAAATGTCCCCAAACTATAAACAGGCATACATTTTTTCCTATCTTATGATGTCTACCTTAAATTAGACACCAGTCACTATTTTCTTATCTTCCAACATACATCGACTACATATGTTTAACTTATGCAACTCCTATCCTGAAAGAATTTTAATACTAGGCAGAGAAAGAACTCGATCATCCTTTCAGGAACTTCATGTTATGTTTAAAATTCTAAAATCATGCTAGAGACTGTTTGGGGGAATCCATGTTCTTTGTCTGGTGGAGAAATGATTAATCCATGTTATCTTTTAGTGGAGTCTCTGCAAAAGCATAATTCTGTACGAAGTTTTGGTCATATACGAGTATTTTCAGTAATATGGAAAAAATACAGTTAGTTTCTATTGGGGAAGGTATATAGCTTTGCATTCATTTTTACAGTTAACGGTGCGCGAAGCTTTGAATTCAGCTCTCGATGAGGAGATGTCTGCTGATCCCAAAGTGTTTTTAATGGGAGAGGAGGTATTAATTATGGAAGTTGTAGTTTGGTTATGCAAAGAAACGTTGTTCTTTATCAGTTTATGAGAATTCGTTGACTAATTTAGGAATCTTGTATAGGTTGGAGAGTACCAGGGAGCATATAAGGTGTGGTGTGATATAAAAATGTTTATTTTATTTTTCAATAAAAATTACTCTTTGAGTCCATATATTACTCACTATGTTCAATTATGCTGAAATAGATCTCTAAAGGGCTTCTGGAGAAGTATGGTCCGGAGAGGGTGCTCGACACGCCCATTACTGAAGTAGGATTCTGTTATGTTCATTGTAACATGTTTAAAATGAAAATAGTTGCTTTCTCACTCTTAGCCTTGTTATTTCCTCAGGCTGGATTTGCTGGAATCGGAGTTGGTGCAGCATATCATGGTCTAAGGCCTGTAGTCGAGTTCATGACTTTCAACTTTTCGATGCAGGTTAGGATTCTTCTCTTAAATGTTATTGTCTTCAAGAAAAATAATTTTTTCGAACTTCTTTTTATATGGTGCTATTTTATATCTATATTTCATCTTTGAAGCTGCAATAGAATGTGATATAAATGATCAGCAATCAAGTGAAACAAATTTTAAGCCATAAAAATACATTCTACATTATGCTTATTGAGACTGTGGGAACTAAGGTCTTGAGTACTTGAAAAAATTATATGGTGAAATCTTTCAGGGTGTGTTAATTTATGTTTTGGATTTATTTTGGTGTTTTCGATTTGGATTCTTTGAAATTGGAATGGAGAATAATTGTAAGTTGCGATGTTTGGGACTGTTTACTTTAAATTGTATATTATGAAAAATGTATTGAAAATGGTAGTGTACAAAGCCTAAATTTCCTTTAACTTGTGTTTGTTTGTGTCTTGGATGTTTTGGGGGTGCTTTTTATTTTAAAGTTCCTCAAAAATAGGTTTGAGATGTGATATCTTTTTGGAACGAAAAATATTTTATAATAGATGACAATAAAATTGAAAACACAAACAAACACACCCTTTAGCTTGAGAGGTGAAGAACCTTGACTTGCCCATTATCTTGTTACATTATTATCACTGACCTTTAACAATTTTTAGTACAAGCTATCAATTTTGTAATTGCTTGACAGCCAACTCATAAGAAAGTATTGAAAAAATCAATTTTTTGTGTATAGGAAGAGAGTCGAGCATGCTCAAATTATATATATATATATACATTTTATCAATCTTAAAATTTTAGGCTGAGCTTGACTCATTTAGGATAAAGTTCAAATTGGCTCGATTATCTCCAGCCAAAGTCACGGTTCCTTTCGATATTCTGTTGAATTATTGCATTTTTGTGTTCTACAACTTTTATTGTTTTATTTAATGTCTATCAATATTGAGGAAAATTTAGGAATGGTACAACAACATTTCTGTTGAATTATTTTATTTTTACAGGCGATCGATCACATTATTAATTCAGCTGCAAAGTCGAATTACATGTCTGCTGGTCAAATATCCGTGCCTATTGTCTTCAGAGGCCCAAATGGAGCAGCTGCTGGTGTCGGTGCTCAACATTCACAGGTGCGTTCATCGTGAGCTTTTAGATGATGACCCGAGGCTCCTTTCGCCATCACATTGCATTTTTGTTGATACTCAAAAACTTTTTCATTTCAGTGTTATGCATCATGGTTTGGTTCGGTCCCGGGATTAAAGGTACTGGCTCCATATTCTTCCGAAGATGCTCGTGGCCTGCTCAAAGCTGCTATAAGAGATCCTGATCCCGTCGTTTTCCTCGAAAATGAATTGCTGTGAGTAATCCTTTCTCGGCACTCATGACTTGGGTATGATTTTGAATTATGCTTTATTTTTTTGCTCGTACAGATACGGCGAATCATTTCCAGTCTCGGATGAAGTCCTCGATTCCAATTTCTGTCTTCCTATTGGGAAAGCCAAGGTTCGGATTTTCTATTTCGGTACACTATACTTTCTTCCTCTTCAAATAGAAATGTTTAACAAACTTTATCTATATGCACAGATAGAACGGGAAGGAAAGGACATCACCATCACGGCATTCTCGAAGATGGTCGGCTATGCTCTCAAGGTATCTAATTTTTTTTCTTTTTTGACTCATCGTCGAATAAGTTTCTATATTGGCACTTGAACAATATGTATTGTGTATATCATAATGTTGTCAATGTTGACGTGTGATACGTGCTTAAATCAATGACATGCTCTGTGGACTATTATCATGTGTTGTCAGTTAATATATTGTATTTATATTATATTTTATTAACATAAATTATGTATTTTTTGTTTATTTTTTAAGCAAAATTGCCCATAATTATCATATGGTTGTAAAATTTAGAATAAATTCTTCTTGTACTTTAAAATTGTATGACGTCTTTATAATTTCAAAAATGCAAAAGAATATAGATATGAAATCATCTTCTAATCACATATAAAAATATAAAAAGTTACATGCAAACCTTTTAAAAGTATAAAGGGACGCTATGCAATTTTTAAAAGATTGGGGGATTTACACAATGGAGTTATGGACAATTTTGTTTATCTTTTATGTAATGACTATCTATGTTGCATTCATATTTTATTATTACTATAAATTATGTGTTGGTGTATTTACATGTGAATGTATTTCAGGCTGCTGATATTCTAGCAAAAGACGGAATCAATGCCGAGGTAAGTCAAAGAGTCAATCCTTGTGTTCTCATATTTACTTGATATTGGAATCTTTTTGTTTCAACAGACTTAAACTGTTTATACAGGTCATAAATCTTCGCTCAATCCGCCCTCTTGATCGAGCGACAATAAATGCCTCCGTTCGGAAAACTAACCGGCTCATCACTGTTGAAGAAGGATTCCCCCAACACGGAGTTGGCGCTGAGATTTGGTTCCCTCTCACTTTAATTTGCTACTCCTATCAGTCGATCATCATTTACGGATTTTCATTTTCTGAGGTTCGTTCTTTACAGCGCATCCATTGTCGAAGATAGCTTCGAGTATCTTGACGCTGCAGTCGAGAGAATTACGGGGACTGATGTGCCGATGCCCTATGCTTCAAACCTCGAGAGAATGGCTGTCCCACAAGTTCGATCTTAAACTTTAAAGCTTAAACACTTGTTGTCTTTATCGTTGAAACACTGAGAAAATTACATATTATTACTTTTATCCTGTATTTATCTCGCTGACAAAATATATCCCACATGTTTGCAAAAGTCATTGTTTCTATCATTTGGCTGGCGCGTGAACGCGTGTGTGAACGTCACGCGACCAAATGACAGAAATAACGAATTTTGCAAACATATATGATATATTTTTTAAGCGAGATAAATATATGACAAAAGTGATAATGAGGTATACGTGCGAGATATTTTTTGCAATTTTGTCTTGAAACAGTTATCCGTTTGCCCGTTCTTCTTTCAAGGAACTTACGAATGGGATTTTATCTCAGGTGGACGACATTGTCCGGGCGGCAAAGAGGAGCTGTTACCGGTCGATTGCGGCGGCTCCGGTGGCGGCGACCGCGTGAGTTTTAATGTGACCAGGTAACTCATTTTTGGTTTAACTTAAGGCATGCTTGTTTTGAAAAACATTGGCCTAAGTTAAACATTATTTGAGGGAGAAAAATAAAATGAGAGGAAAGAAAATGACTCTTTAGACAATAAATGTGATATGAAACCACACAGTGGAATTTTTTGGGCTTATTCATTCAATATTCTTAGATGAAATAATTTTTCATAAATATTATTTTTTTAAAAAAATACAATATATAGACAATAAATGTGATATGAAATCACACCATGTGCAATTTTTATTTATTTATTTATATATATTTTTTTTTATCAACACTAGGTTTGTTATTTAGTGATTTTAGATGAACCGAGTTTTATAAATAATTTTAAAAATATAAGGTTGTTTGTCTTTTTTTTTTTTTCGATCCTATATATATATATTTTTTACAAAAGTCAATATTCAATATAAAAAATAATTTTTTTTTTTATATTTTATTGAGACAATTCTAATACAATTATCTTATTTCACATCAAAAGAACTCAAATAAAAAACACTAAATAAACAAACCAATAATTTTTTTACATATTAACACAATATAATATATATTATTTACTTTTAAAAAAATTAGTAATTTAAGATAAAATATTATTATTTATATACCAGCATCATTCTTTATATTTAAAATAAAAAAAATACATTAAATAAAAAGCACATAATGAACAATCTTTCCTAATGGGGTAATGGGATAAAACATAGGAGGTCAGGTTTGAACTCATGACCTCATACCTTACAGGGAATGATTTTTAATAAAAATGTGTTATTTGTTTAATAAAATAATATCAAAAAATTATCCAAATCAAATTTTAAAATTCAAATCAAAATCAAACATACCCAATATTTTCTATTTATATCAATTTCTTACGAAGAGAATGAATCCTTTTTTGAAGAATTAGAAAAAAAAAAAAAAAAAAAAAGTTTGAATTTTGTGCGGGAATGATTCGAAATATCCAAAACTAAAAAGAAAAGGTATTTGTTAACAACAACATAATAGAGATATTCAATCGATATAAGATTGATTCAAAATCGGATTCAAATCCAATATACCTATGGATACATAATAAATAGGAAGAAATCCCTCTAATATAGTTGTGTACATAGACACAGTACGTATATAGATGACATATAAATATACATAAAATTAATGTATATATAGGGGCTAGGCAGCAAAGGGACTCCTTTTAATGTATATTGAATTCAAAATTATCAAATAGAAAATGATATCTTTAATAAAAGTATATAATTCAAAATTCTCATATTTTAACAAAACAAATTTTAATGAATACATATTCAAAATTCTCATTTTTTCATAAAACAAATTTTAATGAACTATATACAAATATAAATATATACTTTGTCTATCCCATCGAAAAATTATCATTTTTTATTTTTGTTCATTCTAAAGTTACTATTTCCTAATTTAGTAATTGTACTATCTACCTAACATAATAAATACTTTTTCAACTTACAATATATTACACAAATATCATTACTTTTATATTACATCATAGTAATAGGGGTATTTTTTTGTTTTTTTTTTTCATACAATCTAATATAATACTAATATTAAAAAATCTACGTAGAAAAAGTAAATATCACATTTCTAATTAGACGGTGGGAGTATATATGTTTATTTATACTTAGAATTCTTAGTCTGATACAAGAATAAAAAAAAAACATATTTGAAACAAAGTGAATAAATAATAGATACACCAAAAAATATTACTCCATCCGTCGCATATATCGTGTCTGCTACACTGTATAAACATGGCATTTTAGAATAAATGTAATTAGTAGATAATTAAAAATGTATAGTGAAAATAAGTATCTTATAATATAAATAATTATAAATTAACATTAAGATAACTAATTAGTTTAATTAAAATTTAAAAAAAATGAATTAAAAAATTTAAAATGAAATTAAAGTGTGTAATCATTTTTCAAAAAAAAAAAGTGACATGAAATGTGGGACGGACAGAAACGCCAACGTAAAAATAGTATGTGGGACATGGTATGTGAGACGGAGAGAGTATATTAGAGCGTCTCATTGCAAAAATGAATAGCAGAAGAAATTCAAAAATCGCAAAAATAATTTAAAAAATGAGTAGCAGAAGAAATTCAAAAATCGCAAAAATAGTTTAAAAAAGGACTAGCTGAAGAAATTCAGAAAGAGTAGAGTTAGAATAATCCCCCCATCTAAATGTGTGCTAAAAATATAAAAAATATAAATAAATAAATAAATAATGTATTTTTACTACTAAAAACATAATTTGTTTTTACTTTTTTTTTTTATCAGAACTTAAAAAGAAAAGTAAATATAAATCTAACCATATAATATTAGTACTTATTAGTATTCAATCCTTCCGAGATGCTACAATATATTTATATTAATATAATACAAATACAATATATATCATAATTTATTTTAACACATATATACTCTTGTAAAAGAGATGCTACAAAGACCTGTGTTGTTTTAAAAAATCAACACCGTCCTATCCTTCTCAAATAATTAATATAAATTAAAATTAAAATTAAAATAATTAATTAATTTAATTAACATTAACATTAAAAAAATTATAAATTATAAATTTTAAAATACAAATTAAATATATAATTATTTTCTAAGATGACAAATTAGGTAAAATAGATGAAAAAAATATATATATAAACAAAAAACTATGTGAAAGAGACTATCAATCAATTCCTATAAGAAAATAATAATAAAAATAAAAAATAAAAATATATCAATCAAATCTCAACAGCATATCAGCAATTTTCGTAGCCACTTCTAGATAATTAAGAAACCATTTAATCCATTAAGTCCGCAACAGTAAGGGTGTGTTTGGTTGACTATTCAGTTCAGAAAGTCACATTAAAATATACTCCCTTTCGTTCCATAAAATACTATAATTTATTTTTTTTTCACATAGATTTTTAATATTTAGCAAAAAATAAAATAAAATACTTCTATTATTATTATTATTATTATTATAGTATAATATAAAATTAATGATAATATATATTATAAAATTATAAAAGTATTTATTATGTTAAATAAATCGTCCATTTGCTAAGTTAGAAGAAGACATCATGTTTCCAAATGAAAAAATAGGATCCTTCTCATAGTACAATATTATTTTTTCAATAAAAAAATTAAATTAATATTCAAATCAATTCAAAATTATAATCAAATAAATTATAAAATTCAAATGAGTCCGCTGCAACCAATTTTTTAGTATGGGTATAGATATAATGTGGCTCTATTTACATATACATTTAAATAATAATAAATTAACACAATTTATTAATATTAATATTAAAAAATAATATATCAAATATTTTTTTTCATAAATTATTAAATCAAATACTTAATTTTTATTATTTTTAAATTTTTTCTAAAACATGCAAAATCTTTACACCAAGATCTTTTGAATCTTTTATTTTTATTTTTTTTATTTGGAAAATATAAAGGGTGTGTTCTTGTTGGAGAAATCCTCCAAATTTCACTATTCATCAATTTTTTTTCTCTTAAAAATATGAAATCAAATACTTATTTTTTATTTTTTATATTATACTAAAAATTAATTTTAGATTCAAAACATCACATCAACAACAATTTTTACTCTTCAAATCCAAGCTAAAAAATCTAAACCCCAAACAAACACACCCTTTCAATGTAATTTTTAATCTAAAATATAATATAATGTGATTTTATTTATTAATGGTAAACAATGGGAAGTTATCTTTCTTACATAGGTTAAAACACAATTTGAAATACGAATTAAGAAAATCAAATGATGAATTTTAATACTGAGCAAATAATAGTTTTGGAAACGACTTGCCGCAACAAAATGGAGTGATTGAGCGAAAAGATAAACACTGGCTAGAGATGGCTCTAGCATTTAAAAATTGAAGCAAACCTTCAATTACCATCCACGGCCATTGAAGGAAAAACCCCATATGAGAGTTATTGTTTGGACGGAAATTTGAATATGATCACATGAGGATATTTGGATGTTTCGAAGCACAGAAACCAAGTATGACAAGTTGGAAGGAAAGGGGATGAAAGGCTACAAGATAGATTGATTTATGATCCAATCCACAATAAGATCATTGTACAATTTGCGGAAACTATCTTCCCGTTAGCTGTCAATGTCGAACAAGACAAATGTCAGAGAAGAAATATTTGAAATCCCTCGTGTTTCCGCATATCGATGGCCAAGAAAATGGTAATGGTGAATCAACAAAAACTAGTGAAGAATCAATCAATCAATCAATCCATGTAAGCAACTTAGACCCGAATAACACCATAAATACCCCTTTTACCAAATGAAAACGATGCGTTTCTACATGGGGACTTTGAAAATGAAGTTTGTAGATTGAGAGAGTCCATGTATGAATTGAAACGAGCTTTGAAAATTGGTATAATAAAGCTTTTCTCCAACTTGGATTCAAACAATCAAAGTGTTTGTAGCAGCTCTAATGTATGTGGATGATGTGGGAAACGATCGAACCAAAATTCAAAAAACGAAAATCTTCCTTGACAAAAGGTTTAGCATCAAAGATCTTGACCCTTTCAAGTACTTTCGCTGGATACAAGTGGTTCAAACAAAGGATGTCGATCTTGCTCTTTCCCATGGAGCAAAACTCAAAACTCGAAAAGGTTCATGTATAGAAAATACACAAGACTTATAGGAAGGCCGCTATATCTTCAAGCCACGAGATTAGATCTTACATACTCGGTGAACATCTTAAGCTAAATTGTTCTGATCCACATTTAAAGCATATGAATGTAGCCATAAGGATTTTGAGATATCTAAAGACGACACCATGACAAGATATTTTTCTAACTAAACAAGAATGGACCAATTCGGTTGCATATCGCTATGCTAATTGAAATTCAAAGAAACAGTCGAAAATCGGAAGGTAGAGCCACTTCATATTGACACAAAAAAGCAGCTAGCAGGCCTTTTTATCAAAGCATTAAGAACTCAATAACTTGAGTCTCTGCTTAGCAAGTTGGGCATGAAGTGCATGCCCCACCTTAAAGGGGAATGTTAATTCCAGTTATCTTTTTTATTTTCTTTCTGTTATTATTTGTTTTTTTTATGATTAACAAATATTAACTCTATGGGACAAATTCAGAACAAGAACACTCTTATTGATAGAAGCATTCCAAAAGTGATTGATCATGTAGAGAAGTTCAAATTTCAAAATGACTCAACAAAACAGCAGATAGTAATGTAAAGGTTTTTATTTTCATCTATTTATTATTTATTTATGCTGAAAAGTATAAAGTCACCTCTTGATTTCAGCTCCTCTATGACAATCTCAGCAAATATGAACGAACAAGAGAGAGGCTTTTCAACCCATGATCCTATCCTCAACAGGAGTAGAATTCTTCGGACCTTTAATCACAATAGTTAGCAACCAAAATTAAACAATAGCTTTGCAAATGCATAAAATTATGATCTGAGATGAGTTTTAGCATTCCTATTGTCGACGAAAGTAATGTAAATGTTCCTAGGGTTGCGAACCTTCTCCTTTTGATGGCTGGGCAAATGTTGCCACCCAGGAACGAGCCGTTTCCACATATTCGTCATGTTTGTCTTTGTACTGCAGGAGGGACAACAAAAGGATAGTGAGGATCTATACATTTGGTGAAATGAGATAATAAGAGCATCACAACAGAGGCATGTCGATCAATGCAGATTATCAATGGCAAGAAGAATATATGAGCTTGATTATACCTGTTTTGCTACCTCGGCGTCTTGAGGATCATTGGGTTCAGGAGTAGAGAGTAATGCTTGGAGTGAAATGAGTGTCGAGACCATAGTTTGGGCAGGGCTCCAGTTTCTTCCCAGGACATCCAAGCATATGGCTCCAGTTTGGCTGCTTATATTAGGATGCCTACAAAGGAATCATTAGAGATCAAATGGTAGTATAGTGTAAGCAATCTGCCATAGTTAAAGGATGTTTCGAATGTCGTGGAGTATGCTAGTCTATTGTTTTTCCAGTCTCTGCAGAGTTCAAATAATTTTGATGGTTTGGAGTTGATGGAGAACTTAAAAAGAAAAACCATATAGCTATTGTTGATATGAAATTATATCTCAGAACATTGAAATTCCTGCATAAATACAGAATTCTAGTTGATTTAAGAAACCGATGGAATGGAGATAATTCATTCTAGATAACCAACTAGTTCTAATTTCACAGCTATATATATATGTGTGTGTGTGTGTGTGTGTGTGTGTATGTAGATATATGTAAGTGCAGAGCAGAATTTTGCAGGAGAAATTGTTAATTTAGTCATACCAAACTTTGGTGATAAACCGCATTTTCGGAGGCAAGTAAGGATATTCACCTGCAAAGATTAACAAGGAATTCAGTGATCCAAAACTAAATAACAGCTCGTAGCGATCAGATTAGCATATCACATCAGATTGTTTCATTGTTTAGAATTCAATTCAGAAGAAGAACGAAAAATGCAGGCACTACAAATACAAGATCTGAGCGGTATTTCTCTAGCAATGTTCTATTGAAATAGCATCACAGTTAATAATTCCTGCACAATTAACATTGAAAATCTCAAACATTTTGTTTCCTCCATTGCATGATAACCAAACGTGGAATCATTCCTCAAACTTACAGTGAATTGATTAACAAGTTCATCTACAAACAAACAAATCAAAACAAATTCAAATAACTCCGCTTAGTGGCCTACAAAAACACAAAATCATCTCTAACTAAATCCACAGCAAACAGAAATTTTAGCTCCAGGATTCCTCGCAAGTTAACAGTAATTCAGAAAGCTAATCAAATATAATATCCATCCAAACGCATAAACACCAAAAACAAACAGTAATAAATAAAAAACAGATTAAAATAAAATTAAAATAAGAACAGAATAGAATCACCAGGCAACACGATTTCGATTTCATAGAAACCGCCTTCGTAGGGAGTACCACAAGGGCCGGGGATAGTGCCGACCAAGCGAGACAGATCATTTGCGCAGCACAGGACCAATTTGATCCCCGTTTTCAGTTCATAACTATTTCTGTGATCGTAGAGCTCCCGCTGCACTCGCCTCTCCATTGTTCCGTGCTCTTCTTAAGGTTCGGTAACTGAAATTTCTGCAGAGTTTTGGGGGCGGAGAGACTGAAGAATTTCGCGTGCTTTACTCCTCATTCTCCGCCTTTTATACTGAAGGGAAGGATAGCGGTGTCATTTTGTGATTTTGTGAGGACTTGATAGTAAAACCAGCTGATACTAAGGTACGATTTTTATTTTTTATATATTTATCTTTAAATTGGAATTTTTTCGATAAATTGAAAAGTTTTTCTTTCTCATTCTTATTTTTCGGATCTATCATTTAATTTAAGGTGTTTATGAAAAATAATTGTACTACTTTTCAGTGGTACAATTATTATCGAGAAATACAATATATAAACATATTAATAAAATATATATAATTTTATCTTCGTCAGAATCTAAGATCTGATTTATTTTTTTAAATTAATTTTTTAATATTAATTATTATATTAAAACGTAGTTCAAATTTAAAAAAGAAATTACAAAAATATTTTAATTAGTATCTTAATAAGGATATTTGTATAACAAATTATATATAATATATTTTAATGTTAAATACCATGATACAAAAGATAAATGTAAATATTACATATATTATCTATTCACAAAAAATTAATAATTTAATATAAAATATTAGTTTTTATATTATTAGATAATTTTTCATATTTAATTTAAAAAATACATTATCCAAAAACACTTGCAATATATTTTGAAGATTGCCAGGTAACAAAATATACACAAATATATTTTTAAAAAGTAAATTAATATACTTTTTGCCCTAGTAATTTTGCTACGCTATGTATAATTTTTTATTGGTGGTGCTTTGGTACATTTTTTATTATTTTTAAAAATAAAATGACTAGGGCAAACAGCCCTAAATAGTTTTTTCTATTTATTGATATTTTCACACAATTAAAAATTGAAAAGCTTCCATAATTATAGTTTTAGAGAAAAAGGAAACAATTGTAAAAAATGACCATAATCAAGATTTTGTATACAGAAAATTTTAATTATAATACTCCCTCCGTATCAGAACTATAATTTTGATTGGATTGAGCACGAGATATAAGAAATATTGATATTATTTTGATAGTCGATAAAAAGTATAGATAAAAGGCTTTTTTGCCCTTGTAAGTGTATTAATGTAAAAAGTAGTGGCAATTGTGTAATAAAAATAAAAAAGTATGGATAATTTTATGGTGATATAGTTATTTATGGAAACAAGACTATTGTTTTAAGAAGGACAAAAGTAGTAAACAGAACTACTATTGTATTGGCACGGAGCGAGTAATAATAATTAAAAACTTATAAATATTATAATAATATTCATTCAATACGAATAAAATTTTATCCAAACTTTCTACATAAATCGTGGCCTATAGATCCGGTCCATCTCCTGATCCAAAAGGCCGAAAAATAATAATAATAATAACTATTATTATTATTATATTATATTAAATTAAATTAAATTAAATTGTAGGATTTACAGGTTTTTCCGACATAAATTCTCTTAAAAATATTGGTTATTTCACTGTTTGATTTACAAAAATTTGATATTAGTAATTCTACTAACTTCTTTTATATTGTAATTGCCCACGGATCAGGCTGTGTGCTGATGCATAAAAATCTGTTATGTTTAATTATATTAATTATATAATTTAATAATAAAAATTAGTATAATTATATTTTAACTTATTAGCACAGGTGCTGAATAAATTCAATCAGCACTTGATCCGTGATTATAATTTTTCACAAACTTAAATTGTTACCAGTAATATACTCTCTCCGTCCCATAACAAAGTATCCATTTTTTCATTTTAGTATGTCTCATACAAAGTATTCATTTTCTTTTTTTTTTTTTTTTAGTAAATCTACTATCTACCTAATATTACAAATGCTTTTACAACTTCCAATATATTACACAAATATCATTATTTTTATATAACACAATATTTATAAGGTCATTTTAGTCATTTCTACTTTATTCATACTATATCTCAATATAATATTAATATTTCTAAAATTCCGTGCAAAAAGCAAATTGATACATAGTTATGAGACGGAGGAAGAATATTTTTTATAGGAGAATTTGATAACTAAAATAATGACAATTGATAAACTTATGATGGTAAAAATTATAGGTTCAAACTTCAAATTAATATGATTGTCCTAATTTAAAGTATTACTTTTATCATTTTATTCTATTCCACTTCAATGTATTATTTTTTTTATTTTAGAAAAAATAATTATACACTAATACTAAAATACCCTAAATTTTTATTTAAATTATAAACATACAATTATACTTACTTTATATATATAGTCGTCAAAGGTTAAAAATATTAAAAATTCATACACACTTTCACTTACTAATATTAAAAAAATTATTACATCAGTCCGACTCTAAAGATTCCGTTTACTTTTTGTGTTGTTAATATTTGAATATTAATTATTATAGCAAAATGTTATACAAATTAAGAAAAAATTGCAAAAATACTTTAATTAGTGTTTTATAATACTAATATAATGATATTTGTACAAAAAAAAATTATACAAATATATGAATATTTTTAATATTAAGTACAATGAGTATTTGATATCATTTATGTCAATAAAAAAAATGATAAATACATTTTTTTTTTATGTGATCAGTTGCAGCCGCTATTTTTCGAGTACATTTTTGATAAACTTTTGGTCGAACCTAATAACCAACAAATTAAATTATACTAGGCGAATTATGTGGGACATACAAGACCTCAAGGCTACAAATCCACCGCTATACTATCATGTCATCATTTACATTATTTGGATTATATATATCTGAACTAATCGAATGCTTAATTTTAAAATTCAGCGCTTTGATATATAACAATTTAATTACATATAATTTCAAAATAATAATAATAATAATAAATAAACTAGGGAATTATATATCTCAAAATACTATATATAGTATTTGGTCTACTTACCCTCTCTCTTTAAAATATAAAGATAAGTGTACATATAACATAATATCTTACTTAACCAATTAAAAAAACAACCAACAGCAACACACAACTAACTAAGCCCATATGTTTATTCGTAACGGTTAGCAGCTATATCAAAATTAAATAGTTTAATAATATTGAATTTTTAATTTTTAAAAATTATTATTATCATTATTATTATTATTTAATCAGAATGTAAACAACAAATATATGTATAGACAACGGTCACAAAGAAAAGATATATTCCCTCAGTCCTATAACTAGATATCAATTTGCTTTTTGCACATAATTTTAGAAATATTAATACTCCCTCCGTCCCATGTACCATGTCCACGTTGTCGTTTCTGTCCGTCCCATATACCATGTCACTTTCCTTTTTTGGAAAATAATTACACACTTTAATCTCATTTTAAATTTTTTATTTTTTTTAATTTTAATTAAACTAATTAGTTATCTTAATCTTAATTTATAATTATTTTATTGAATAATTATTTTCACTAATACATTCTTAATTATCTACTAATTACACTCCTCCTAAAATACCGTGTCTACAGTGTAGCAGACACGGTATCTGGGACGGAGGGAGTATTATATTAGGATATAGTAGGAATAAAGTAAAAATAACTAAAATAAACCTTATTAGTATGTGTGATATAAAAGTAATGGCATTTGTGTAATATATTGTAAATTATAAGAGTATTTGCAATGTTAGACAGATAATATAGTTACTAAAAAAGGAAATTGATATTTTGTTACGAGATGGACTAAAATAGAAAAATAGATACTTTGTTATGGGACGGAGGGAGTATATATGTTTCGTCGTCTCTTAACAAAGTATATTTATTTATTTTTTACAATATTGTATTTAACATTAAATATATTTTTATATTTTTATAATATTTTATACAAATTTCATTACATTAGTATTATATTTTCTCCTTTCCACCTACCATATTGATCTTGCCGTTTTTGTCCCTCTCACATCTCATGTCACTTTCTATTTTTGGAAAATAATTATGCATTTTAATCTCATTTTAAATTTTTTAATTTATTTTTTGTTTAAATTTTAATTAAACTAATTAGTTATTTTAATCTTAATTTATAATAATTTATATTATAAGTTAATTATTTTCACTACTTATCTTAAATTCTCGTGTCTACGGTAACCCAAACTTTCAACGTGGGTCGGAGGGAGTACAATACTAATAAATGTACATTTTTTTTTTCATAATTTGTCATATGAATAAATATAAAATTAATATTTAAAGCACTACACGCAAAAGTAAATAAATATTTAGTTAAGGGATTGAGGTAATATAAAATATTATTTTCTCTCTTATAAACGGTATATATTTCTATTTTAAAATTTTCAATTACAAAATTACTATTGCCTCCGTCCTATAACAAAGTATCATTTTTTTCATTTTAGTTCATCCCATAACAAAGTATAATTTCCTTTTTTAGTAACCGTACTATCTACTTAACATTGCAAATACCCTTACAACTTACAATATATTACACAAATTTCATTACATTTATATCACACATACTAATAAGATTATTTTAGTTATTTATACTTTATTCCTACTATATCCCAATATAATCATAATATTTTTAAAACTACGTACAAAAGTAAATAAATACTCCCTCCGTTCATTTACAAAGTTTACATTTACTTTTGGCGCGGTGTTTAAGAAATAATAGTATTTTAATTATAATGAGTAGTTAAAAGTAGTGTAATGATATTTTTGCCCTTACTTTTTTTGTGTAAAAGTAATGATGTGATGTAAAGTAAGGGTATTTGTGAAAAGAAGTAAGGTATTTAATAAAATGTTAACTTTGTAATTGAACGTCTCATAATATAAATATGTAAACACTGTAAATGGACGGATGAAAAATTTACGATAGAGTAATTACTTTTTTTAATAAATATGAACAGAGAACATCACATCACATCACATCACCTCACATTACATGTACTTTTACTTTTATATTTGGACATTTATTATATAAATATCATTAAACTAACATTTTTTTAATTATAAGGAAATATTAGTCTTTCGTACTAAAAGCACCGTCCACTATTATTAAATTACA